TATGTAAAAAAATGATGTGAAATTTTTTTTATTTCCCGCTTTTTTGGTTAATTAATTATGACAAAAAACCGTTACATTTACACATAACAATTATATGTTTTTTATTTATTATATCATATAATAGTTAGAGTAATGTTACATTGTTAACCCAGTATACAACTAGGTTGACAACACAAGTGAAAGCATTTAAAAAAATAAAAATAAAAAAAATACATAAGTGAATATTTTCACTTGTATTGTCAACCTAGTTGTACACTAGGTTGATAATGTAGCATTTTTCTAATAGTTATTATTAGAACTAACTAATTATTTATCTATTTCTTTTTAATCTCAATAAGCGATTGTTTTTTTAAGTAAAATAATTAGTTTTATTGGTATAGTCAAACTACATAAAAATACATAAGTAATTGTTATAATAGCAAATTTAATATTTTTCAGCTAATAATTGATCACTATCCCTCAAATTGTAAATTCTATTGGTATAGTCAAACCACTTAAAATTACATAAGCAATTGTTATAATAGCAATTTAATATTTTTCAGCTAATAATTGATCACTATTCCACAAAATTATAAAATTTACATTATCCATTACATTTTATTGAATCAAAATAGTGATCCCATGCAATTAAATTGTTATGTACTGTTTATTATTACTAATGTTCAGATTTTAGAGTATAACATCATTATATAATTTATAATTATGATATTATATGTATACATATAACTTCCAATATTTGTTACATTTGTGTACGTACATAAGATCAAATACTATTTTTATCTAATATTATTGGATTTTATTTAAAACGAATACAAAATTCGAATTTTGTTTCTATAACTTCCCATCTAAATTAATAATAATAATATATTTTAAATTCCGAAATTCCTCTTCCCAACTATCTCACCAAACAAAATAAATGCAAATCAATATTTGGTACAAGATATTCACTGTATCTTGTATGGTCCTTACACTTAAAACGTGTCAAAGTTGTCAGTCTGCACTGCATACACCGGAAAACCATGATATTTTTCTAAGATTAATATTTATACTACTTATTTCAGGTTTTTATTACATAATTTACATATTAGTTTTTATAATACATTTTTCTCAAAAACACCATTGAACTCTCTGTAATAATCGCACTCTACAGTGACATGAATGCAATATAATTTTTCAGAATTATGGTAATATTTTGATTCAATTCTTCACAATTTCACCATTAACATGCCGGATAAATTTTTTTTGGCAAGTTACAAGGGTGTTTTCTGTACTATAAATTGTTTCCGCAAAGGGAAACTTTCTGAAATAAATTACAGTTAAATTTTCGTTTAAGATGAAAGTCACAAAATTTGAATAATATTGTACCAAATATTTTTTTCTACAAGATGCAACAAAGATTTCCTTTATGTTATATTAGGTTAAAAGTACATGCAAATTTGAGTAACTTGGTTATTTTCTTATCCTAAAGATGCATGGAATTTAACAAGTGAACCTACAAGTTCTTTTTTGCATTTCAAAATGTAATGTACTGAACCATAATGAGTAAGTCCACATGCCGCACAATAATTTTTTTTTTTTAAATAGTACATCGAATTCAAAATTAATAATTGCTAAACTTATTTACCAATAATTAGTATGTAGCCCGTATGATTCACGTGCGATGGACGGGACAAAAGTATTAAATGAGTCATTTACACAGAGCTTGTCCGTTAGGTCGTGCGATTCACGTGAGATATTATAATGAGTGGACCATAGGGCTTGTCCGTTCAAGCCTAAAAAATAATAGAGTTTGATCATCTATCTTTTTACATCTTTTCCTCAACGTTATTTTTTTGTCGGAACATTAAACCTGAGTCTGGTAGCGCTAGCCCGTAAATTAATTAACATATTATCTCGCTCACATGTTTATAATAATATAAATTTGATTTCATTATATATATTTATTTCTTGATATAAGAAAAATAACAATTTTACGTAATCTTGTTCCTCGTATAATACTCATATTATTTTATTATAAAATTTATTGTAATATAATGTCATTATTATTATTTATACAAGTTATAGATGTAGTCTTCTTCTTCTTTTTGTTCTATGTAATTAAAATATTTAATGTATGTTCATATTATTTATTAATGTAATTAATTTAAATTATGTAAATAAATTTAAAGTAAAACATTTTGTACAAACATTTTACAAAATATACAAAATTTTTATTAGAATATAACTTTTTTTATAATAAATAAACATCTTTGAAATTCTATGCAATTATTAAACATCCTTGATATAATTAGAAATCATAATCGAATTCTATGCAATTATTAATTCCGTTCGATGTTATGGGAAACAGATCATTCGGAAATGTAACAAAATGATAAGGAATTTTATATTTTGAATTTTAAATGAGACATAGTTTTTACTTGAATTCTATGAAATTATTATTTTGTCCGATTTTATGGCAAACATATCATTCAGGATTTTATGTAACAAAATGATAAGAAATTTTAATGTTTAAATTTAAATTTGAAATGAGACATGTTTTTACTTTAAGTCTATCTGTCCGATTTTATTGCAAAACACATCAATTAAGGATGAATTAATGCAAACCGGTTTTTTAGCAATAAAATAATAATACAATTGAAATACTTGATGGAAATAGAATGCATTAATTACCTTTGACTTTTCTGTCTATTATTTCTAGTTAATATGATGGCTTTTTATATAAGTATAGATAGATTATTTTATCAAAATATGTTTAACTTAAGCAATAAATATCTTATGTCAATATACAATTTTTTTTTCCTAAATTAATAATATTACTATTTAAGTTTTATTTCATAAACATAAGTTAAAAAGCATGAAGCCTAAAAAAAACATCATAAGATTATTTCATAAACATTAGTTAAAGCATAAAGTCTCAGAAAAAAACATGATAAGATGCACGTGAATATGAACAACACATATAAATTAATATATACACAAACATAGAAAAAAATATTCTGATACCAAATGTCATGCTACTTAATACAACACATAGTGTTAATATTTGTGATATTAATGAATCATCACAAATTGGATATATCCCTATATTAATGTGTTCCGATTTTATATGACTTTTGGTGTTCTTTAATCATATATTTGAATTATGGTGTTTCGTAATTTGATGTGTCAATTATGGTGTTTCGAAGTTATTTATTTGGATTAATTCATAACCAATACTATGACTTTTAAAGTATAAAACACTTGAAATTAACGTTAATAACTTTCAGTGTTTTTATGTATAATATTTAAATTAATCATCCTTTGATTAACTTCAATTTTATATCCATGTGCTTGTATAAAATAATTAAATAATTTTATTTTTTAATATAAAATTATCTAGTTTATTAATATTAATAAAAACCCCAATAAATTATCAGTCAATTAGAAAAATATCTACAAATTCGTTATACATGAACTTATAAAAAATAGTTAAATCATATATTAATACTAATTGCAAATTAATAAAATTATATATCAATTAATTTTATCTATAAGTTTATTACATATGAATTGGAAATATAATATTAATTATATGTCAATTAAAATATTATTCTATAAATCTATTGCATATGAAATAGGAAAATTATTATTTCATTAGAAATTCAAACAATAAGGCGACATCAGGATTTGTTTCAAACAATATTAAAAAATAAAAAGACTTTTTAATATTTCAAACAATACGGCTGCATTAACGGGATAAGACCGCTTTTTGTTGCTGTTAGTCTGTGAAAAGAGATAACGGTATAATTAATGCGTTATTAATGCAATGTGTGAAAAAGAATTAAAACCTGCCATTTATGGAAAAGAATTAATGCAGACTTGCGTTTGACCATTAATTAACCTACTATTTTTGATAAATGTTAATTTTTATTATATATATATATATATATATATATATAAATTATACTATATATGCAAGGACGGAGCTACACGGGGCCCAGGAGGGGCCCCTGGACCCCCCTCATTTTTTTTTAAACAATCAATACACATATATATATATATTATATTTATATATGTATTATATATTATCAATATCTATATTTATATATATAAAGAATAAATTATACAATATGTATAGATATGTAAAAAATATGTACAGCATATTAATAATTAAAATTATATTTTCTATGCTATTTTAATTTAAATTAATAGTATTATTTATTTATTGAAAAATGTACTAACAATCCTTATATTTTACATTTTTAGATAAATTTTTGAAAATATTTGTAATGTTTTACTCTTTTGGTCTCTTAATTGTAAATAGATTTAGTGAATTATAAAAAAGAGTATTTAATTAGATAGTTATATTTTTTAATGTTGATTTTTTTTTTGTTTTTGTTTTGTGTAATCACATATTTTTAACTTCATTGTATTTCTTAAAAAAATGTTCGTTTGATAAGCTTTCGTCAACAAAAATGCTATGCAATATGCTACAAAAGTACAATTTATATCAATTTTTTTTAACCAAAAACACTTATTTTTTTCATAAATTATAATTGTTAAACTTAAATTATAAATACATGAAATTTTATTTTTTTTTTAAGTTTGAGGGTGATATAGATTCTAAGTTTTTACAAACTTGATGATGCACATTTCGATATTTATATTTATAATAAATATATTTATATATGAAATGAGTGTTTTGACTTAATTTTACAAGTTTATTATTTAACATTTAAAATCGGACCCCCTGAAAGAAATTCCTAGACCCGTCAATATATGCCATTATTTCTGTAAAAATGTTATTTCAAATGGGGAATTTACGTTGATAGTATAGGGCCACTGTTCCAAAAACTTTTTGATTTTAATCATAGTACATGTAATAAGATATTGAACTTAAATATTTAGTCCCTTGCAATGACTACTACGTACTTTATTGGTTTATCCATAATTATTATTTTATATTACAATTAACATTTTTTAGTCCTAGATATTTAGATTTTTTTAGTTTCCTCTGGCAATTCAGGATTTAGGTAATTAAATGTATGAAAGTTTTAATATTTGGAATGAAGTAAATTTTAGATGCGACAAAATTCAAAGTTAATTTAATTGTACGAATTATGGATGTGGAGTATATAATTAACTTGAAAGTTATTATTCTGTCATTTATTTATAAAAATTGTAGTTCTCAATTTCATACCTTAAATTGCCAAAATTAAAAAGTTATGTTTAAATTAAAACTAAAATAATTATTATGAATTATTTTTACGAGAGTAAACCTTTGTATATATAATTATATGTATGGGGATAGTTATTATAAAAATGATATAATCTGGTCCCTTCAAATTTCTTTCCATATCACCTTCTGAATCAATTTACTTAAATGTGGAGGCATTAATGAGGACTATAGGTATGGGAAAAGCCCATAAAAGATAGCACCTATAGTGAATGTGAACGTGAAGGACTTGCGTTTCTAGCTTAGCAATTATAAAAGTTTTTGAACTTTACTCAAAACACATCCATTATTATCCATAAAACGATTGATAAATATCTCGCGCAATTATAATTGCCCAAATTTGGAAAAAAGAAGAGGAAAAATTAATAATTGTAATAAATTTTGAAAGAGAGGGGTCACCTTTTCAGAAATTGCATCCTGCACCACAATAATGTCACTGGTAATTGCAGAAATGACCTCACCAGTAGAAGCCTCAGTGTCAAAAATGCTAATGTCTTGATTTAGCATTGCCCTCAAATATGCCATTCTCATCTTTGCGGCTTGTCTTTCCCCAGAGTGCATCCAACAAGCTACCTCTAATATTATTTATTTAATCATCAATTAATAAATCAGTAATCATCATTATTAAATAATTTGAAATCTATATACCACATAAACCAAAATGTATAACATGTTCTTGAAAATAACATATATCAAATAATCTCTTTTATTTTTTTTTTTCCTTTCTCTTAGTTACCTGCCCATGAGGAGACCATTATGACTAGGCTCAGATACACAAAATCCAATGAATACTGCAAATCAAAATTTTCGTGACATGTTAATTACTTGAAAATAATGCAGTCCATAAGACAAATCCCAACCTTTATTTTTTTTCAGTGTCCAATTTTAAAATGTATATATATAACTACTTACGATAGGTCTTCTATTAGTTTGTTCTATGGTTAGCTATATTTTCATACTCAAATATCATAATCTAAACTACAACATAACCAAATTAAAGTACGACACTTTATACTATAATTATCCAAATTTGATGAAAAAAAAAAAAATGTTTGTCTAACGATCAGGCAACCTAACAAAAACATTTGCGACATAGTTATTATACATACGGTGATCTATACCTTGGCTACTTTATGAGAAGCTTCTTTAGGGAAAAGATAAGCTAAGCCGATGACGTTTATGAGGTGGCCGAAGAAGATGAAGAAAACGGGAACCGACACGCCGTGAACACACGCACCCAACGACCCCGCAAACATCAAGAGATAGTCATAGCTGTCCGCAAACGAAAACAACTTCCCAATCCCGACACTTTTCGCTCCATCATATTTTTTCTTCTTTTCGGATGACTTCTTTGTCCTCTCGTAGTCCTCGATTTCTTCATCAACCTTAGAAGAAGCTGGTGATGTCGAATGTTGGTGGCTCATTTCTTTTTTTTTTTTTTG